TGTCAGTTTCTGCTGCTGGTGGCTCTGCTGTTGCTGTGTGGTTGCACTGCAGTTGGGATGGTTCTTTGGAGAACAAGGCATTTATCTCCTTGGCCTCTGCTTCTCTAGTGTATCTCCTTAGATTGGCAGCCAGTACTGTGAGCATTTGTTTGGCAGTCTCTAGGACTTCAGATGGAGTCAGGTCCTTGTAGCCAAGTCTTATCCTTGATCTCCAGCTGACTAACTTCTCTCCAAGTTGCCTTGTTCTTAGCCTCCAACCTCCTTTTCCAGGGGGTGGGTGGGTATGAACTGCTATTCTTCTTGATCGTGTAGCCAAGCATCTCCAGGATTACAGCGGCTATAGCATATACCAGTTCTTTGGTTTCAGTTATGGTGATAGTAGGGATTGTTGTGAGGGCTCTATTGGCATCTTCTAGCATACTATCTGATGGTTCTTCTCCACTGAGCCTTGGTAATCGGTCTTGAGGGTTGACTGTAGCTAGTTTATCTATGATCTTATGCCTCATATCAGCTTCTGTGTCTGTAATGGAGGGGGTGGCAGTGACACTCCAGCTTCAGGCATTGGCTGCACATCCAGTTGTTCTTCCAAGTCTACTTGAGTTGTAATGTGGAGTTGGTCTATCTCAAGTTATGAGAGCAGCTTCCTCTTCACTGTGTTGAAGCGCTGGGTAACTAGTTGTTCCTCAGTTAGTGTGGATGTAGGTCTTCTGTCCATCCATAGTTCCCTCATACATTTCATATATCCCCTCTAATTAGGTCTGCTGTTGTAGTAGCATTCCATCAATTCCAAGTTCTCTTGTCTCGTCCATGTATGGTTTGTTCCAGTAGCCCACTTATCATCAGATTCTCCTGGTTCCCCAACATCTGATGCGGACCTTGTTAATCCGGGCAACGTCCAAGCTGGCATGACTCTCTTAATTCATGTCACTCTCATATTTGAGGTAGGCAGGTGAAGCATTGAGGGCCTTTGCCCAAGGACCCCTACTGGTAAGGTAGGTACCAGCTGGGATTTGG